CATCGAGTGGTTCTTCGGGGTTCACATGAGAACTAGGAGCAGGGAAATCGGGCGCGTGGGCGATTTGGCGCAAAAGCAGAGGTCCAAGAGGCCCCCGGAAGGCCTGAAAGGAACATTCAAGTTGCCAAACTCGACAGGAAAGTGGAGGGCCAAAATATCGAGTGCCCTTTTGGCGAAAATTTGCGCAAGTTCTGCAGCGCTCAAGGAGCGCGTACAGTTGTATCTATCAGACACGACTGTTCGCGCGGCTGGGTTTTGCTCTCTCTGTGGAGGTGCTGTCAACTCCCATTCTGTGATAGCGACAGGTTTTGTTTCAAGACCTGGTCAGAATTCTGTCATTTGAGGGTCTGTCGATTTGAGGGCACAACACCTGCCACAGAGAGAGAGTTTTGTGACCTTCTGGAATGAGCATCGATACGGATGCTTCAATGTTTTAAGCGTAGTGAGATTTCGGACATCTTGGAAAAAAGAAAGGATCAAAGATGGACAGACATTTGGCTCCCAAAGTCCTGTCTGAAAGCATTCTATGCTGTTCTCGAAAGGAGTGCTAAAGACCGGAGCACGGCAGCAGCGCTCCCAATCGAATGTACATGGACAAACCCAATATGCTCGAGGACTCCGCTTGGGTCAAAGCCGTGTGTCCTCATACACAGGAATGCATCACTTGAACTGACTAAGAAAGGTAACGTTACAGGTCTGGGCGGAGTTTTGTGTGGTCTTTTTAGAGAGTCTCCAAGGTTCTTTTTTTTGAACTTCCCCCAAAGAAGCAGCTGGACCGAGGTGGGCATTGATCTTAATTCTCGTCATCTTTCTGCTTAAGCTAGCTCCGGTTTGCCTCGTTTCAAAGTATGGGGCAACGCTCTCAGAGGAATAAAAGTCGTTTGAGAGAGCTGCTAAAAGCCTTTCCGAGCTTTTCCAGTGCAGAGGTCACAGTCAGCGTCGGTCTTTTGACAGAAGGGGAAAAGTCCCTCCGCTTCCAGTGATCCGATCTGCCGGAACAAGAGCCAGTGTGACTCCGAGGCAAGATCTGGTTATCCCCATTTGGACAAAAAGAAGAGTGCCATGTGTCACAAGCTACATGATTGCACTTTGATTCGCACGAGATTTCTTTTTACAAATAAGATTCCTGATACCTTTCATATTCGAAAATGTCTGACGGTCCTACGAGTGATAAGCATACGTGCGAGGGACGAGTTAGTGACAAACAAGGAACAAGTTTGTTTGGTCAGAAACTTCCACGCATGTGCAAAAAAGATGAGTCTACGCATGTTACCTTTGCTCAAGTCGGAAGTGCGCAGAAAATTTCGAAAGCCCGCCCGCCCGCCAGGACAAATGATTTACGGACCACAAGAGGTCTTCAGATTGCCAGGAATGTGGCAAGCGACACAAGCTTTTCTACGCTCGTCGCCAAAGAAGACTGAGTGTATCCTGCAGAGCGCTTCCCTTCTTGCTCACCTGAGGCTTGGACGTCAGCTCTGCTTCAGGTCCCACCAAGGAGGTGTGAAGACTACAGCGATGATGACTATGGAGACTTCTAGATCTCCATGTTTGTTGAGGCCTCAGTCTGCCTGCATCACAGAAAAAGACCGGGTAAAAGTCCCTCCGCCTCCAGTGATCCGATCTGCCGGAACAAGAGCCGGTGTGACTCCGAGGCGTTATCCCCATCTGGACAAAAAGAAGAGTGCCATGCTTCACAAGCTGCATGATTGCACTTTGATTCGCACGAGATTTCTTTTTACAAATAAGATTCCTGATACCTTTCATATTCGAAATTTTCTGACGGTCCTGCGAGTGATAAGTTTTAAGCAAAGCTCGTTGTTGCACCCCGCCCAAAATGCAGCCAAAAAATGGGAATTTTTTGGAGCTGTTGCTTTCTCTTGGAGGTTGCAGTTGTCAGTTTAGGTCGCAGGCCAGAGTCTTAAAGTTGGTGTCAGTGGTCTGACAGACGATGATGCACATGTGTTGTGATTAACAGAACTGCAGGTTCCGACCCAGTTCTGGGTTTGCTGTGATTGTGATCCCGCAGTCTGCGGCCTGCAACCGGCCACCAACACCCCGAGCCATTTTGCGTATGTGGATCCCGCCCAGCTTCTTCTGCAGAAGACAGAAGCTTGAAACATCGAATTCAAAGAATCGAATCGGAAAGCGGTGAGCGAGTGCGTGCGCTAGCCATATTTCCAGATGGAATTTTGAAAACGTGACGGAAACAATGCGATTTGCATTGTTGCACATTGGCAGTTGTTGTTGTCTTCACATGGTTTTTCGACATTGAGAGAATGCAGTGATGAGTGTGTGATGGTATTGGGTGGTGCTGGATCCTGGATGTAAAATATACAGGGGAGTCTGCGTTCCGACTTCGAAAACTTTTCGTGTCTTGCAAAATCTTGTTTGGAAATTCTGTTTTGAGGATCACACACGACGGAGGCCTTCTGAGGTGTTACACACCGTACAGTATGTAGGTTCAACTCCACAACGCTGTTGCAAAAAAAACACACATTAAATCCAGTTGGTGCATTCTCACTTTCTTGGCTTAGCCTGTCTCCAGCAGCCTTGTTCTAGGTAAGATCTTCTATGTTTCACTGCTTTTGAGTTTCTTCGTTTGCTAAGCTTGCTTAGCTCGGACCAAGAGCGGCTGCCGCTGTCGACAGGCCATATTACGCACAAAAAAAATTTCTTGTGCATCCAATTCTGCACTTCAACATGAGTACTGCATTGCCACACATTGCCGGTTGCAATTTGTACCCAGCCCGCTTCCATGTTGGGACTCATGAAAATGTCTTGGATAATCCTTGGAGGCTGCAGAGACTTCGCAAGCAGAGTGAGTTGCCCCAATCTGGCTTTACAGGTTTTTAGCAAACGACTTCGTTGCTTTAGACATTGTTCTTCCGTCGAGCCGACAACTGCGCCAAACCATTGGGTTCTTGGTAATTGCAAAAACGAGTTTTAAGTGAAGCTCGTTGTTGTACCCCGCCCAAAATGCAAGCCCAAAAATGGGAATTTTTTGGAGCTGTTGGAAACATCCGGGCCCCGTTTTGGCCCTGTTCTTCGCGCAATATGGCAGCGGAATTACCCAAAGCTTTCTCCGCTTTCGGAGATTTACAAGTCTGTGGGGGCGGGGATTCAGAACGAAAATGCAATTTCAGGATTGGGCATAATTGATTGTAAAGGCAATAAAAAACATGCTTGCATGGTTCTTGCAGTATTTTCAAGCAGTTGGAGTGTGTTCAAGCAAGATTCAATTTGTTTTCGCACATAGGGTCGCACCAGCACGCCAAGAGATGCTGACGAATTGTGGTTAAAGCTAGTGGCACCAGTGTTTTGTTGCGTGGCCAAAATCGCAAGCGTCCGACATGGTCCCATGAAGGGCGCTTTGAGTAGACTGAGCGCAGACGCTCGGGTACTGACGCTCCAAGGGCAGCTGATCCAAGAAGGCGTTCTTGCAGAGGAGCTGCAAAAAGCAGAGGACCAGCAGGAGCGGTGTTTGCGGCATCTCGAAGCTCTGGCTGAGGCAGCGGCCGGTCTGAGTTCAGTGTCCGTTAGGCGCTTAGGCCATGAGTGCCATGCTGTTTGGAAGGCTTCTGCCGACCGGCACGGAGGCAAGAACATGCAGGCGCTGCAGGCCGTGGTCAACGACAATTTCTCGCATGGTCTGAACCCTTGACCCAGGTTCAGACCTTAGGCCTTAGGATTTCGGATTGTTTCAGCAGGCGGAGCAGCAAACTCCTAGGCCCTAGGCCCTAGGTACTCAAACAAGGGTCGGATATCGTCGTCGTCATAGTAGACTCAATCGTCGGAGTCGTAGTCGTAGTCGTAATCGTAGGCGTCGTAGGAGGAGCAATGCAAGTAGTAATCCCCTCCTCCTCCCCCGCCTCCCCTCGCCTCCTCCTCCTCCCTCCTCCTCCTTCCAGAGAACGCGCTGAAATCACTTGCATGTCTTGCGTGCGGCGCTGCTTGTTTACTGATGGCAAGTGCAGGTTCGGAGATGCAGCCTGGGGCGTGAAAGCCCTTCGGCCACTTCGCGCAGCCAGCATCCGCAGCTTGTTTTTTTTGAGCTCTGCTTGGAGATTCCTGGTGCTTGGGCATTGCGGTTGAGTGGAGGGAGGGGCTTTTTCGGAGGCTGCAGTTGCGGCTTGCCCGAATGGAATTGGATGCGCAGGCATTGCAAGAGGCCAGGGGCGATTGCTTTGATTCCGATCTTTTGTGGTGATCCTTCGAAGCTGTTCCAGGGTGCGGCCAACTCGGAAGTCCTCGAGTACCTCCACGTGCTCCTCACGCTTTTGAATTTCATTCTTGTGTGTGGAGCCATGACACCAGGCTGAAGAGCAGCGGCTGAGTGACGAAACGAGGAACCGGAGTGTGCTTGTGCTTCCGGGCATGTAAGTTTGTTGGGAGCCACGCAGTCATTGTTGAGACTCGCAGACCTGGAGGCCGGTTGTGATTTGTGCAGATCAGTACAGGGCATGTGGGTTCCCATCTGCTAGATGCAAAACTTGCGACGCTGAAGGATGACCTCTACACTGACGCCAGGGCACATTAACAAATTACAAATTCGTATGCTTTGGCACATGCAGAAGCACAGTGGCGTCTCTCAGCAGCCACCTGGTGTTCGCCGCCTGCAGCTCCCATCTCACCGTACTGATGCGCACTGCCTTGCTGCAGCCAGGAGCATGCGCAACAGCGAGCAGGCTGCATTCGAGGACATGGTGGGGACCGTCCGTCCGTCCGTCCGTCCGTCCGTCCGTCCGTCCGTCCGTCCGTCCGTCCGTCCGTCCGTCCGTCCGTCCGTCCGTCCGTCCGTCCGTGTGTGTGTGTGTGTGTGTGTGGGCTGCCTTTGTGCAGGAGGTGGAAAAACAACGCTCCGAGATGTTGTCTCTGAAGGTAGAGTGTAGCTTTCCCAGACTTGAAATGCACTGAGCCTGAGGATTAGGTTCAGGCTATGGTGGGATGCGATCTTTGCCAAGGCTCGGCAGCGTCGGTTTCAGTGGAGCATCCCCCCAACGAGGCCATGGCTCATCATCGCTGGAGGAACTCCCTGTCCAGAGAAACTGGAATGTAATGCGGGAAGAGAGGTGGTCGAGCATGAGCTCCGCATCTCTCTTCCTCCCGGGCATCCGGCTCTGCGGGGGCCCAACACATGTTGAACTGTGCGTGGCATGTCCAGGGCTGCGTGATTTTCAGCATATTGTCGGAGGTCATCCTAGTCATCATGTGTTTATGAGCCGGGAGGTGTCCTTCTTCTCTTGTGAAGTGAGTAGAAGTGAGCAGCGTTGTGGCAGCGCCACCAGACCGATCTTGCTCTACATTCTCGAAAAATCCAAACAGTCGGGCCGGGCCACGATTAGGAAACTCGCCGGGAGGGCCACGCACAAATACGACTTCACGTGTTAAACACGCCGACATTGCAAAAGAGTGCCCTGCCAGCGGCCCCGTTAAAACAAAATTGTGGCAGGCAGAGGCAGGGACTCACGTCCTGATTTTCAGCACAACACGCCTCAAAGGGCCACGACTCAACAGAACAGTGCAAAGTGAGGTTTCACGATTTCACGGATCAACATGTCTCAACATGTCAAGAAGTCTGGCGGCGCCAAGATTAGCCTGGAAGAGCCTGCTCTAGCTATTCTCAGTCTGTTTTGAGCCGTGTTAGACTGTTAGACTTCTTTCCAAAGTATGTACGTACTCATCCCCGATCCCTCCAGCCCTCGGAGTTTTCAAACCTGGCGAAGCCTGCACTTTAGTCAGTGAACGGCTTCCAACCGCCCACCAACTACAGGATCATGTGCGTCGATGTGTCGGATGGTGAGTGGGTTGTCGAACCACATACTGTACAGCGGCAGATTAAGCAACACATGTCGAAGCTATGTTTCTTTTGTGCAGTCCGTGCGGGAACTGTATTGTAAGGTGAAGGCGAAAGCAATCCCTGTCCAACCTTTGCTGTGGCGTTCCTTCCAACATCTTGGCACACAGTGGGAAGAAAAGACTTGCAGAAGCAAGAAACACTCCGAGGAGACGGGCGCCTTTATCGACGGAGTGTAGTGAGAGCACCGCTTTCGCACGGCTCTTGCTGCCGTTGGAAAGGCGGCTGAAGCGCTTCGATGACCTTCTCGCAGCATTGGAGCTTGAGCCGTTCCCCGAGCATCCAGTGTTCCAAGTTTCAAAGCACATCCGCAGCCCAAGCACAAGTGGAGGAAGGAAGAGATTCTGGAAGAGCTTCGTGAAGATTCTGGGCTGTGGCAGGCCCGGGCTGGGCCTGTCACTCGTGGTGCGGCTTTCCGAGTCCAGGCTCAGCGAGAAGTGGAAGAGCCCGATTCTCGGCGACGAGCACGGCCGACGCCTCGAGACAGTTCCCAGTCCCAGGCTCTCTGGCCAGCTTCTCCTGCTGGAGGCACGAGCCGACGAGCCTTTGTTAGCTGTCGAATCAAAGCCTGGGAGCGAGGAGGCCACCCGCCGCCGGGGTCAGCAGAGCCAAGCGGCCTTCGGCTCAGGAATCGAAGAATCAAAGATGGGCTTGCGGCAAGGTGTGGGGCATGTCAGAGTTCCTGGACGCCAGCGCGGCCCGCAGAAGAGGCCAGAAGACGAACGCCCCACCGCGCTGCGGCTCGCAACCTAAATGTGCCGCAACCTAAGTGGGCCCCCCCAGAAGAGGCCAGAAGAGGCCGCGCCGTTGCAGCCCGCAACCTAAGAGGGCGCCCCACCACATGCGCCGCGTTCGCCGCTTCGGCCCACAACCTAAGTGGGCTCTTCAGAAGAGGCCGGAAGAGGGCGCCCCACCTCGTGCGCCGCTGCGGCCCGAGAGGCCACTCAGGTTGCGGGCCGTGCGCCGCTGAGGCCCGCAACCTATAAATCCTATAAGTTTCCCGTTGCGGGCCTCTTCTGGCCTCTTAGGGGGGGCCCACTTCGGTTGCGGGCCGCAGCGGCGCAAGCGGTGGGGCGCCCTATTTCAACCGAAGTGGGCCCCCAGAAGAGGCCAGAAGAGGGCACCCCATAAGAGGGCACCCCACCGCGTGCGCCGCTGCGGCTCGCCACCTAAGTGGGCCCCCCTCGAGGCCAGAAGAGGCCGTTGCATTGTTATAGGAGAAGGGAATCACACAAAATGACTTAGGGAAATAGGTGACAGCTAATGGTATTTCTTAGGCCAATCTTAATTATAGAAAGTTATCACCAATAATGACCTAGATTTCTTCCTACAAGATAGTGATATTTCTTAGGTGCATTTGTGTGGTTCCCATGTCTCATTAAGAATGACCAGAGAAATCCCATTAATAACCACCTATATCTCCAGGTCAAATGCTGTGATTAACTCCTCCTATAATCCTGTGATATCCTGGAACCCTTGAAAGTTAGGTGTAATCAGTGTAATCTCTAGGTTTAATTGTAATCTCCTGGATGACCTATATTCTAGCTACATCTCATATCCGGGGTGCGTGCTTTGTTTCTTTTGCTCTTTTTCAATGGAATGAGTGAGAGGGGAACCCCTTTTCCCTTTTCACTTTGCTCAACAATTGAATTAATTTGTGCATCCGTTTCTTTTCTTTACAATTAATTCAATTGGAACAAAGGAAAAGAACGGGAAAAAGACCCAGAGATGGAGATGTAACCAGATAATAGGTCATGATGATAGGTGATATTAGTTACTGGATGATAGTTATTTTTCTAGGTCATATCTGGGGTTCTTGGTCGTTCCTCATTTTCCCCTTTTTCTTTTGGTCTAATTACAACGCAATGGAATGAGGCGTGAATTAAAACGAAAGAAACAGAGCAAACTAGGAACGGGCGTGTGTTTTTTCCTTTGTCTTTTCTCGCTTACACTTCGTTTCATTGAAAATGACAAATGAAATGCCCAAAAAACCAGATTATAAGAGGAGAATTGACCTAGATTATAATGTCCGGGAATAATACAACTCCAGGTGTAAGATATGACCTGAGAATTCATTAAATCCCTGAATCATATGATCCCAACTAAGACTTCTCACATAAAGTGAACTAGAAATTTAGATGGAATAAGATGACATTTGATAGGTGATCCCAGATGATAAGATGTCTAAGTCATTCTATAACCTCTGAGATGACCTAATTCCCTGTTATTCAGATATAGGTGTTCTGGGTTCGTGGGTGGCCTAACTTATTTAATGAAACATAAGGCAAAGAAGTG